GCCCTGGTTCAGGTCCCACCCGCTTCAGCAGTCTCTTCCCCCGCTTCCCCCCGACCCCGGAATTAAGTTGCGTTATATGCGTGATTGTTTTACAACAAACATGAAACACCAACTATTAATGTGACTGTCGGAAACTTGGTTGAGCAATTACAAGTGCCAGGCTTTTGCTACGCGCTTTGCAAGTGTGCTATCGTGTAATACAACAGCCTTGTTGGAGACGTAGCTTTAGACAAGGGCTGGCTTAAAACGAGGTTCTGGTGTCAGACTGTCTGGGCTCAAGTACCACCAGGGCCTCCTCTGTAACGTGGGGATAAGGAGGGCACCTGCTCCACCGACTTGTGCTGAGGAGCAAATGAGTTAGAACACTTCCAACGGTATCTGGAGCCCAGACAGGGGCTGCAACTGCTAAGCACCGGCCATCGGTACCAGGAAAGTGTGAGGATCCCCATTTTTATGGAGGTTGCATAACTTGCCAAGGGTCACGGTCACTAACTGGTAGCGGTGAGATTGAGACCCAGGCAGTTCGACTTACGGTTAACATGTTTAAGAATTTTAATTGCGTATTAAGATCCAATGAGGAACATCTTTGTTAGGCTGATTTCCCCAACGTATTTATATCTAAATTTTCTTAATTTGAAAACTAGTATTGAAAAAAAAATCAATGCATGTTTATTAAAGAAAATATACTATGCAAATAAGCACGTGGATGAAGACCCCATCCCATGGACCTGAGCTGTCTTGCGGCTTTTTTCTTAGGATCTGATAAAAATCATTCTAAGCCCAAATTAAACCCTCTGTGGGCACAGAAGAAGAGCACTGCTCCCCAACCTCCAAACTTCATTTTAGGAGGTCTTGGCAAAGGGCTGAGGAGAGAACTCAGCCAACAGGAGAAGGAGCCAGGCCTTGGGTGCCAGAGGACATTCTCAGTTCATCAGAACTGGACACTGAGAGCAAAGTCGGAAAGAGACACATCACTACGTCCTGCGGCATGTTGGGATGCAGGCACCTACCTCTACTCTGAGGCACCTCTAACAGCTACTGCACAAATGGAAGAGAACCCTTCCTGCTCTCAGCCCCTGGGGGTAAGGCAGCTACCAGCTCCAGAGCTATGCCTCTCACGGGACCTTGGTCAGATTATTTAATCCGGCTGGGCCTAGTTTCCTCATTGCTAAAATGGGGGTGAGAATAGACTCTATTTCTGAGGGCTGCTTTCAGAATTAAATGAGATCATGTCTGCAAAGAACTGCTAGCTGGGGTATATGGCATACACTTAGGGGCTAATAAATGTTTTATTGTAGGTGTGGGGATCAATAAATATACTCGTGCCCTGGCCGAGTAGCTCAGTTGGTTAGAGCATCGTCCCAATATGCCAAGGTTGTGGGTTTGATCCACGG